TATTCGTAAAACAATGCTTTTTCCAAATATGCTAATGAGCCACCCTCGTTCCATTTGAAAAAATTGAGATATGATTAAAAATACGATTTGGGCATCTTTTAGCCGGCCAGGACAAGACACGAATAACATTAGACAATCAAATCTATTTTTCCAAAGCTCCTTGATTAAAAATTAGTGTTTTTAACACAGCCATGGCACTCTAGATAAAAATTTAAAATTCACTTTTGTTTTAAGCAATAATGTCAAAAAAATGACATATTATATGTCATTCTCTTCGGAATGTCATTTTCTATCGAATAAAGTAAAAAAATACCGAGGGTGCTATTTAAAAATCAAAAGTTGTAGTCATTTCCGGTGAAACAGGAAGTGGTCGAAAAGAATTGAATACGTCAATCAATACGAATTTATGGCATATACTAACATACCAAATCTCGTTTTTTTATCTAATAAAATAAGAAAGTTATAGGGGTGAGCCACTTTTGAGACGCACCCGGTATATTACTTAGTTCCATTAGTTGTGTGTGTAACTCATAGATAAAGGAAACAAGTACAGATTGGCACTTTCCTTGTATCATGTCCTTAAAGGACAATGTAAATACTATTTGGCGTTATTTTTATAACGGTCGTCCTCCAAAGCTTTTGATAATTTCGGAGTGGTTCGGCTTTCTCCGAAATGTCGCCATATATTATTTATTCAAATTTATTATTTTCATATCAATTTTTAAAATAAAATACAGTGTGTTGCATATAAGAAACTTTCATTTATATAAGGACATGTTTGAAATACTTATGAAACATTGGAAACCGACGTTATGCCACGATCCACGATGGTTTTTGCAGTTCACAGTTCACACATCTTTTTAAGTTTTTAATGCAACTTTTTCACAATTATCACGGGTTTGAGTAAATAAAATTTAAATTAAACTTACAAGATGACAATAATTACTTCGAAAATGGACCCTTTAAACACTTTTTGGTATTTTTTCAATGAGGGCGGTTTAGATTTTGAAAGATTTTATAATTTTTGAAGATTCTGACAAGAGAAAATTACTTCTGTTCTTGTACGGCGGTTGTTCTTAGCAGCCGCTATAGCAGCGCCCTACAACGTATGCGCTCCAAAACAGTTATAAGTTTTGGCGGCAAGCCGAGCATTCCAATCTAAACTTGTTTCTATCTATGGTATAACTGACAAATTTCAAAAATATATTTCTATAGGTAGTAGTTAAAATTGTTAAAATTTCGTGTTTCAGTGTTTTTATTATCCTTTTATTAGTTTTACAGAATTTTAAATAAGCACAATGACTACAGGCATACTTTTCTTGAAGTAACTCAAGGTACTTTTAAGCTGAGGACAAACGAGGCGGCTTATGGGCGGCGGCGTCGGCACTTTTTTCCTAGCCGCTTATTGCCGCTTCCGCGGCCGCCGCGCCGCGCTCAGTGTCTTTTGTACCATTGAAGTCCCATTGAAGAGCCTACGCAGGCGGCACAACTCGCGGCGCACTATGCGTTGGATGGTCATTCTAGCGGGACAACAATCTTGTATTTATTTATTTATTAATAAATTAAGTTGTTAATAAATAAATGAATTTAACTCTATGGTTACTATATATTAAACCATTTACTACGTTCTTAGATTTTATTTAAATGTTTTGTCCCGCTAGACTTACCGTCCGCCTGTGTTTCGCGCCGCTTCGACGAAAAGCCGCCTCGTGTGTCCTCAGCCTTAACCGTCTGTAATAACCCCTGTAACCTCTTTGTAACATGCTCAGCCTTAGTAAGGTGCAAAGACTTGCTTGTCTGAGCATAACAGGGGCGATGAAATCAACGCCCACTGCATCAATGGAGGTGCTTCTGGACCTTCCGCCTCTTCACATAGTGATCAGGCGGAGGCAAGAATGGGACTCTATCGACAACAAAGTGTCTAGTCTCTGGGGAAATAGGACAGAAACAGGACACTTAAAGATGGGAGATTCTATCGGAGGACCTCTACTCCAAATGAGATCGGACCAAATGACCCCAATTTATCACTACCACAAACCATTCAAGGTGAACAAAATAGATCGAGGAATGTGGACAGATATGACATTCCTTCAGGATGGACTAACCTGGTATACAGACGGGTCAAAGACCGCTGAAGGAACAGGAGCTGGAGTATTTGGGAAAAGACCAAGGGCAAGCTTATCCTTTTCCTTGGGTAAACACTCAACCTTATTCCAGACAGAAATCTTCGCCATTCTACAATGTGCGAGAGAAAACAATAGAAGAGCTTATTCAGGTAAGCTCATCAATATATGCTCAGACAGTCAGGCGGCACTTGGGGCGCTTATGAGCCCAAAGATATTGTCGAGACTCGTCTGGGAATGCCTGGGTGAACTAGGAGCTCCGGCACGACGGAACAGAATTAAATTATTCTGGGTGCCGGGCCACAACGGCATCCAAGGCAACGAAAAAGCCGATGAGCTAGCTAGGCAGGGATCATCGGCATCATATCTTGGTCCAGAGCCAGTACTGGGAATACCCAAATATATGGCCCGTAGGGCAATAAAACTCTGGATCAGGAAAAAGCACAATGTCTATTGGAGAAACAGACAGGGGCACAGCAAGGCTTTTATCCAAGGACCTAGCTCTAAAACCGCAAAAGAACTGCTAATGCTTAGCAGGGATAAAGTGCGGATTACAACAGGCCTCTTGACAGGACACATGGCTGTCAAGTGTTACCTGAACAAGCTCAACCTGTATCAAGGAAGTCTTTGCTGCAGACTCTGCGATAAAGATCCTGAAGCAGCGGAGCACATAATATGTCATTGCGAGGCTCTGGATCGCAAGCGATACTTTTTATTTGGGAAAGCTAGGCTAGAACCGGAGGAACTATGCTCCCATCCTATCAACGGGTGCAGATATAGATACAGGGGAACAAACACAATAGGCCTCACAGGTCGCAGTGTTTCCGGCAGCGGACGGCCCCTTGTTATGGAAAAAAACCTCTTTGTAACACTTATATATATATAAATGTCGATATATAGTCAAAGTTCTTTAATTTCGACAGTGACTAAATACTAAGTTATCAACTAAATATTTGTTCTGATATCAGAACCGTTATAGATAGGTTTATGACTCACGCAGTCAAAATAAAAATAAAAAATCGAAACTACCAACATCCATTCAAAATATTTACTCCGTGGCTGTACGCCCACGAGCGCCATTGTCAAACTGCCAATTACATGGCGGCTAGATATTTTCGTTTATTTCGAGATTTTCGAGTCGTTTTTTTTTCGATTCCAATCGTGACGTGTTTATATTTTAATAATTTTCCGGTTAAATCTAGTTGTTGTTAACTAAAGTGTCATTATAAAGAAATCATGGTAGGCTTCTGGAAAAGCACCCTACTAAACCGAACACTCAAAACTAAAAATACGTTATTTTTTTAAGCAAAAATCAATTCTTTGAGAATAAAAGTACTGATTTAATGACAAATTTCACTTAATATAATGTCCCTATATACAGGGTGTTTCAAAAAACATGTGCCATCTCTCGTGGGGAGATTCTTCATGTAACATAGGTCCGATTCTACTTTGTCTCGTAGTTACAGGGTGTTAATATTTTTTCGATTTATAATGATTTTCTTCCAAGTACTTTTAGCGTTTCGAATGAATTTTTGTGGTTAAAAGTTACTAAAAATTCGACATATTTTAAAGCTTAAGAATGTCGACATATTCACTAGGGACATACATATGGGTTATCACTCGAATATTTTTCTAAAAAAAAGCATGTACGCTACTGACTTTTTTCTCTTGTTAGGGAAATAGTGTAAGCAGTTTAAGGTCGATTAAAACTTGTCTCTTGACATTTTATCGATTTCGGCCTCCCTGATGAGATAAACGCAATTTTATTAATTTTCCTTGATGTAAATCTAATAGCAAAGTTTGAAAAAAATAAAAAAAATTATCATTAACTTACGAAAGCTTTAAATAAGTACTCATTGAAAAAAAGTTCCTATAAACATAGGTATGGAAATGTATAGTTTTAGAGTTACAGGGATGTTAAAATTTTTAAAATTAGTTTTTGTTGTAATTATCTTAAATACTATTATTTTTTTATTTGAAATTGCTGTAGGTTGGACTAATAGTAATAATATTTAATAATAAATTAGGTAAAATATATAGGTTATTAACTTTATTTATATTTTAATTTTATTAATTGTGATTAATAAAATTGCGTTTATCTCATCAAGGAGGCCAAATTCGACTAAATATCAAGAGATAACTTTTAACTGGCATTAAACGGCCTACAAAATTTTGCTATCAAAAAAAAAGTCAGTGGCGCACATTTTTTTTTAAATATTCTAGTGATAACCCATATCAACGTCATGTATTTAAAAAAATTAATAAACATAGAATATATTTTATGCTTTTGGTTAGATATAGAATAAGACTGTTAAAAATTACAAACGTATACACCACATTATTCTGTTAAAATTACTTGGCTCTGCTTCAAGAACCAGCTAAACTACATCGATATAAACAGTTTTATGATTTCAAAAAATATTGTGGTGAGAGTAATGCTTATTGTAATATGGTTTGTTTCATACACGGTAATATTTTTAAATGACCAAAAAATATACCTCCTATATAGAGCGAGTCAAAAATAAGTGCAAATATTTTAGGGGTAGTATATTTCGACCCGTCGAAACACGATTATGTGTTTTTTTTTCGCCATTTTTTTTTTAAATTTGGAACTTTTTGAAAAGTGTTTTGGATATTTTTTTAATTTTTAGTTAAAAACCATAATTTCGTGATAATATGGCAACATAGATAATAGATTAAATTTAAAAGAAAGAAAACCCACAAAAGATCCAATGGTTCTCAAAATTTAAGCAAAAAATATTTATTATATTACATCCAAAATAACTCGGTTATTTTGGATGTATTTGAAAAACTGTAAAGAGAAAATACGCCAATCTTCAAAAAATAGTATCACTAATTTCACATTTTTTATTCCAGATTTCTAGCAAAAACGTCACGTTTAACCCCTGTCCGGTACCAAAATGCCTGCCGGAGGAACGGCTAACAGTTCCAATCCTTCGGGAAGAACGACCTTTAGACCGCCATGGGTGAAAAACGAACCCGAAGCCGCTCCTTTCAACCAGATGAACCTGAAAAGCACGCCCAGGAAACGAGAAACCACCCCCGTAGACCCAGCAGAAAGTAACCCCATAGGTAGGTATTGTACCTATAGTATACCTAGTAGCTCGGTCAAATTAACCCAAATAAGTCGGAAAAAAATGTAGATCATCCCTATAAAAATTGTCTTTACAACGGGAATTGTTATATCTATAACAATTCCAAAAGTTGTGTTCTTCATAATATGGCACGCTACACACATCACAGTAGCTGTAATACAAATCAAAATATTTTTTGTCGGTCTATATAACGCATAAATATATAAAATAGTACATTCTGAGATTATCAACTCGAAATAAACTCAAATCACAGTTTTTTTAGTTGAGAGTCTATTACGCTGTACTGTTCGGGTTGCTCTCTGGAGTCGGGTAAAGCGGGTGTGTGGCCGAAGGAAATATATATTATACTAGTTGAAGCCTGGCGCATCCGCCACGACATCAGAAAAATACTTTTTATTTTTTGCTTAATTAAATGAAAAACAAAAAATCCGGCGACGACAGTTTTTAGAAGAATAAATTAGCTATCTTTTAGTAAAAAAAGCAACTTTCTAGAGCAAGTCGTTACTTCAGTAGAGACGACACAGATAAACATTAGCATTTTATACAGGGTTGTTCACCACATACGACACGGAATATTGTAGCTAAACGATTAGATTTTTACAAATTGTAAGTTTTGGGTTCGTTGAAGGACTATTAGAGCTACAAATTAAAAATATTTTTACAAGACACAGAGTGTCCCAAATAAATAAAAAATATCAAAGTTGTATTTTTTTAAATGGAACACCCTGTATATTATGACATTTTTAGTTTCTACGATTAAAATAAAGGTAAATTTTATTAAGGTTTATTACACTTAAACCTTACCGTTCTTGAAATATTTTCAATTTTGTGAAATTGCAGTAAAAATTTTAAGGCTTCATTTCTCCAAGGGTATCAAAGTTTTTAATACTAAATATTTACTGAAGTTTATTTACTGATCAGTTATTGTGTTGCAATAATAAAAATAATACTACCTTATACAGAGTGCCTAAAAATTTATTTTAAATAATTATTAGCTTCAAACGGCAATAACTTGTTTAATTTAAACGGAACACCTTGTATATTTTACGAGAATCAGATGCACAATTTAATTGTCTATCAAATTACATTATACCATTTTTTACCTATCTCTTTAAGTTTCCGTAGAAAATGCATTTTCTTGTAATTTAGAACTTATTTATCAATATACCCATGGAATATTGACATTTTAGATTATTTTTAAAGACGTACCAAATTTTTAAAGAGTACAGATACTAATATTGTCGATATAATTTGTTTATTTTATTAAAAAATAAAAAACTGTTTAAATATTTTTTAAAGAGGATCAATTATTATGATTCCAGTATTTAAACTACATTAACTGACTGTTTGCGTTGATTAATAATAATTGCTCCAAATACTAAAAAACTGAATTTTGTATGGGCATTAGACAGTGTGATAAAAAGTAACACCTTAAAAATGATATTTCATTTTTTAATAAATGCTTATTTATAACAACAGAGACTTTAATTTGTTAACTTATTATTATATTGATTTCTGACTCAAATCCACATTTATTTATAATAATTTTTAACGAACACAATTAAGTATGTCATTAATTAGTATATGGGCGGAAATAATGGTGTTATATTTAATTAATGGTATACTCTTTTTATAAAGATTTAAATAGTTTTCTTTTTGCATACAAATGGGCTAGTAATATTATCGTTTTGCTAAAAACGATAATATTACTAGTCTGTACATTTTGTACATTTGTTGCTTTAAAAACAATCTAAAATGTCAATATTCCATGGATGTATTGATAAATGAGGTCTAAATTATAAGAAAATGCATTTTCTACGAAAACTTGAAGGGATAGGTAAAAAATGGTATAATACAATTTGATATACAATTTAATTGTTCATCTGATTCTCCTAAAATATACAGGGCATTCCATTTAAATTAAAGAAGTTATTGCCGTTTGAAGCTAATAATTATTTAAAATAAATTTTTAGACACTCTGTATAAGGTAGTATTATTTTTATTATAGCAACACAATAACTGATCAATAAATAAACTTCATTAAATATTTAGTATTAAAAACTTTGACACCTTTGGAGAAATGAAGCTTTAAAATTTTTACTGCAATTTTCAATTTTACAAAATTGAAAATATTTCAAAAACGGTAAGGTTTAAGTATAATAAACCTTAATCAAATTTACCTTTATTTTAATCGTAGAAACTAAAAATGTAATAATATACAGGGTGTTCCATTTAAGAAAATACAACTTTGATATTTTTTATTTATTTGGGACACTCTGTATCTTGTAAAAATATTTTTAAATTGTAGCTCTAATAGTCCTTCAACGAACCCCAAACTTACAATTTGTAAAAATCTCATCGTTTAGCTACAATACTCCGTGTCGTATGTGGTGAACAACCCTGTATAACAAAATCATATAAATTATATAACAAAATCATTTAAATTATATATCACTGTAATCACAAAACTTCAATCAATTTCCGTATTGTAACGGAATTTTAAATTATGCCTTTATTTTCGAGAAAACTTAGTCCAAACATAAGGAATATTTTGTTGATGACTGATCCAGTGCCTTCTATTAAAAGATCAGCCAACGGGCGAGATTTATGATGTCACGCTAGTTAGATATAACGGATTAATAAATATGTTGTAGAATACATGGAAAACATAATTATTCCTCAGATTTTTGGTTTGTATTTTAAAAATGATATAGTTTACATGAAATATACATAATATACAGTTAATAACTACAACATATACATATACCTATTTATAATAATAAATACTTTGGCAAATAAACTATGAACCATACAAATGCAGCAAATGTTTTACAATGTACAAAGAACTTTTTTTGATTTTTTAAACTTTACAAAGAATAGAGTATTAAATTAATATGCTGTTAAAGACGAAATAATATAATTAAATATTTTACAACCCATTTTTTATTTTTTACAGCCAATTTAAGTACACTCTGTATATATAATTCAATTTTCTTGTTTTATTTTGCTACTATATCACCAAAGGTTCCAACCCCCAACTGTGAGTATTTTCTGGGAAAACTTACATGTAGACACGAGGCTCTAAGAATTTGTCAAAAGAAAACAAAATGACCTGACACAAAATAACCACGACAGACATCATAACCCCTCTAGAAATTAAAAATCATAGTTCAAAAGACAAGAGGTTATTTTATTCCAAAATGTCTCCTTGCCAAATAAATTAAAACGAGGACCAGAAGTCTGCATGTCATTTAAAATACATATACAACGTCTCTCGCGACATTAATTTCTGCAACGTCTATAAATAAAATTAACGTAGTAGCAATCTAAATTAAAGAAACTGACAGTTACTTTCGACGAGGCCGGAAACAATGGAATCCTGCCAAAACGATATAGGACATAATGGAAAACCTTCATACCTGAAATATCGTTCTAGTTTTTGAATATCATAAATTCCGTTGAAAGTTGTACTCTATGTTTAGTACCTGTGTTTCTAAAAATCATCAAGTAATAATCCTTCTAAATAATAGTAGGTATATTTAAAGTCAACTTGACAACTGGCTTTACGAGACAGCATACGAGACAGTTTTATATATGTTAAAGCTAAAATAGATACTTGCTAGTTTTAATAAAACTAGCCAATTAATTGTAAACAAAATAAACGCGGTGTTATTATTAAAGAATCTGCCTATTTTTGTAAAAATGTCGGGTAATCAGCACCTACTTGATATTTTTTACGCTTTATCGTTGATTGAAAGAATTGGGAAGATAATCAACTTAATTATTCTATTTGATATTTCCCCTTACGTGTCAAGTGCTGTACGGTGGAGCCACCACTCGATCTGCGGCCAACGCGTAAAACACTTTCTTTTCTCTAATTCGGCCAGCAAAGGCATATCGAAGACGGTGTGGAGCTAAAAGCGACAGTGTTGTTATATCAAAATGTGTAATATCTGTAATATGTTTGACAAAAATATCTTTGGATGAAAAATCCGCGTTTATGTATTGAAAATTTATTCGTGTTAAACATAAAATAAACCACAAAAATAAAAAAATCTTTTATAGGTACTGAATATGTCGTATGATCGAAAAAAGTCATTTAGTTGGCTTGGAAATGACGATTATTGACATTTACCATAATATTTTACATATGAAATAACAGCGATCTACATTTCCAAGCCAACTCTGACGCCGTTCTTTGTTTAATCATATAGTATTATAATAAATTGTTTAATGATAGAAAATCCGTATTATTAACATACTGTACCCAAAATCCGTAAATCTACAGATTATTCAGTAGTTCTGGCAACACTGTCTCCGACGACCACTCGCTCTGTCGACTAAAAACAGAACTACAGTACATTATTCTTGACCCGCTGAGCTGTAGACGACTATCAGCGCACAGCGGCGCAGAGCTAAACGAAATCTCAGAATTTGTAGATCAACGTCCTTCTTTTCTCAGATAATATATCTTTAAAAATAATATCAGTAATATAAACTACAATTGTATCAATCGAATTTATAAAACAAAAATAGTAAACATTACTATTTGGTCATCGAAACTGCGCGATCTGGATTTTAACGTGTAAGACAGTGATGTAGACAGCTCAATGGAAAATCAAATGTATTAAAAAGAGATAAAAATTGGGTCAATACATTTCTTCTATACGATTGCCGGATTTTGCATCAAAATTTCAAACCGCACAAGAAGGTGTTTACGAAAAATCTTGCATCTAGGGTTGGAACTTGATTTTTCACAATAACTTACTCATTTTACTACAGCTGTACTAGATTATATTTAGCTTAGATATATTATCTTAATTTCAGTAGTATAAATGAAAGTTCTTAAAATAGCTTATATTTTTCTACGCACATTTTCCTACAAATGTAAAAAAGCGGCAACACTGTAGGCCTCTTTTGATTTTGTCTCTCTGTCTGTCAACCGGTCATTTATATTTATCTATGCTCTGTCACACGCATTAAAATCCACACCACATAGTTTAGATGATCAGCAGGGTATATTACGATCAAAGCCGATCGATACAGCAGCTTACTGAAAATTTGACGTGACATTCAATTTTAAAACTATAACATTCAAAGCAGTTAAAATAAAAAAGAACAAAGAATAACTAAAATAATAAGAAAAATATAAGAATATAAAAACTACACCGAATAAAGGTGCCACGCTAAAATAAAAAGCTACTTATAATGATTTACCAAGATAAATTTGGTTTACCTTCTATATAGCCAGTATTAACTCAGATGTGTGTCATTAGTATTGAATTATTAATAGTAGGACATCTGATTCCAAGTTCGGCTATCTATAAATAAGACAATTTAATTTTAGATGTTGATAAAAGTCGGTTGTATTTATTTTAATTTGATACACGAATTTTCAAGTTTCATATAATGCAAAAAATAGTGGTTGCATGATTCGCATGGATTAAATTTTATTTTACTGACTTGGTTACTAAAATTGTTAAAACAATATATTATTAGTTAAGAAAGATAAGTTATAATAATTATTTCATAACGAAAAATATCAGATACGCTACTGAAATATCTAAATTGACGTATCCTAATTATTTTTGACAAGTTGTAAATAAAAGCGAAAATGCAAGAAAAATGTTCTAATTAGATATGATAATTACCTAGTTAATTCTAAGTAGAATTTCATAATGCAGGTTTACTACACGTGACGTAATATACAGTAACTTGACCGTGAAAATTGTTCCCTTATTTATCTCGAATTTTGACCAAGATCTAGCACGCTATAACTATTTTACTGCCATTTTCTGGAATTCGCAATAATATCACTGTTAATGTAAGTTCTAACAAAATATCGTTCTAGATTTACTACCTCTTAACAAAACCAATTATTGTAGAATAAATAATAAATATCTTAAAGGCGGAAAAACATCTTTAAGTTTGTTATTTTTACAGAATATTAACCTCTTTTAAATAAGTATCTTGTTTTTTAAGTATGGTGCTATATTATTATGGAATATTGTGATTTAAAAAAATAAATAACCTTCATTTGGCTTATTCCATAATTTAATTTTATTGTTACAGCTAAAGTACAACTAAGGAAGGTCCATAGAGATTCAGACGATGATGATGATATTGACCTCGAAGAGCTCTTATTAGAAGAAAAAGATACTGTATTAGGTAACGGTAAAACTTGTATTTTAATTTAATAATATAATCATTCTATAGATAATACCAAATAAACTTTTAGTCACGTTATTAAGCTTGACCGGCACAGCGCCACAGTGCTTCGTCCCATGGACAAAAATCAAAAAATAAGTTAAAATTTACTAATATCTGAATATATAATTTTATGCTTATAGCAATGTTCAACCATCCTGTATATTATTTTTCATAAACAGCGTTTTTGTTAGCAAATATTTTCACTAAAAATAAATTTTGCGATCATTATCTCATCAGTGAAAAGAATAACATTCATAGTAGTTCTGTATATTATGGAGTTAAACGGGTACGTACTTAATTGAAAGCCACTATGGATATTGTTAAACAAGGTATGTACTTTAAATTTATTTCTAAACAAGTTCGTGATTGTTTAGTTTTTATTTATTTTTTAAGATGATTCTTAAATGGGTATAAAAATTTTAAGTTTTCAAAAAGGCATTTAAAAAAAACATATCAAAACATATCGTATATATTGAATATTTTGTTGCCATATTCATACACTTTTAATTTTAGTATAGTTCACCTGCGTCTGCTTGTGACGAACTTTATTTTATAATACTTTTCAGATGGAGTAAAATTGATAAGCAATGCCGATCTGGCTAATACTTGGCTTGATCATAAGGACAAGAACTCGAAATTATTTGTATTTCAAAAAATATGTTCTTATTAGATATTGATGAACCTTCCAGTCAAATGAGACACCACTTGTGCCTGAAAAAGTCCACTATGTTGGAGCGAAACGTCGCATAAAAAAGTGTCCATCTTTCAATTTATTATAAAATCTCATACCCAAGAAAAGGAAAAAATAATATATGGATATGGTCTATTAAAGAGGTAACTATTAACATCCGAACCCCTCATACCGACAAAATGAACAGTAACAACGCGAAAAAGTAACATATTAGAAAATGATGTACAGAAATATTGTCGCGACCTAGCTGGGGGTTGTTTGCTAGGGTCGCTATACCAGGTTCTCTCTCTCAATCAAAACAACCACTGAATAAAATATTCATTTATTTAATATAAAGTTCACAGTATAATACAATTTTGGGGAATGCCAAGACTTAATGGTTTAGTTAACTAAGTACTTACAGGAACATCTTCAGTCTGCGCTGTCTTCTACTAACGGACTGATAACGCGAATTACTGACTGTATAATACGACTCACATCGATAGACTAACCAACTCCCCTGTCCTCAGCACACCATTTTATATTTTTCCGCTCGTCCCAATTATCGGCGGGTACGTGCTCAAAAATCTCCTTTGTATATTTCCAGCACCGATATTTAGTACGAGCTAGCCCTGAAACATCACGCTTACATCGACCTGATTTTAATTGTTTAATTAACAATGTTTATTATAAGAACATATTCAGGACAACGTATACGCGAACGATTCCCTTGAATCCACATCAAATTGGTTTACTAGAATTATATTTTACATGATTTTTCCCAATTTGATGTAAACCCAAGTTGGCCTATATTTAAGTCTTGACAATATCTTATATGTGAGGATACTTCAACTACCTGTGATTTGGATACTATAAATTTGGAAGATTCTGTCAGCAGTGATTCTTCTGAATCAGAGTAGTTACGATCTATGCATTTTGTTGTCCTAAAGTAAATTTATAGTATCTTAAGTTTTTTTTAATTAAATATAACATTAATGTTTCTTTTTCATTAAAGAAAAACATTTTTATCTTATATTAGGCTTATATTGTAGGAATCATGTTCTAATGTTATTTCAATTCTTTTTTATCACAGGAATTTATTTAATACTTACACCGTTTTCATACTATAACTTATTATTTGCTTAGATGGAACACAGCTCCAACATTATTATTATTTATAAGATTTTTTTTTCATAAACGTGGGACTAAGAACATCATCATTTAGTACAATGAGAGTACTCATCATTTGTGTCAAATAAACCTAGTTTGAATAAATTGCTTACAATAAAAGAGAAGTTTTGGATTTTTGTCCTCTAGAGCCATATGTTCGAAGCACTGTGCAGCGTCGCCCACTTTTGCATATTTTCTTTTAATCAAAATATTTTAAGAAACAAAAATAAATTAATTATAAATATGTATATAAACAGTTATTATTTACATCAACAAAAACTCACTTCCTTAACAGCACTTAAGGGACATAAAGGGCTATAACTACCGCTTTCCCGTTCAAAATATTCTAATAAGGTTGCGATGAGTTTTTTACAAATTAAACTAATCTTGTACCACTTCGTACTAAATGAGATTCTAAAAAGAACACTGTTTGACGACAAGATCTGCTAGTAAATATTTTGAAGCTTAAAGTATCACAACACAATTCATTTAAACCAAAAACTCGTAACACAAAACTAAAGTGTCAAAACAAATGACATTGTCAGAAAATAAATAAATAAATAAATGTGGCAATTTGACATTTTTTACAGCAGAGCTACCACCTGAATCCCCAGCGCAAAAATTAAATTCTAGTTAGTCAGCCCGGCGCCGATTATCTCTATGGTTGGCAACAATTAATTTAAAAATCGCGCCCTCGATTACGTAACTAAAAGTTTAATTGGTATAGCTTATATATAAATATTGTTTATTACAACTCAATTGCTTGCAAACTAAACCAACAATGAACAAGATTCTATTAAATATACAAATACAAAAAAATCCATTGTTGATATGATATCACTGATATCAGTTAACAAACAGCTAACAAAGTTTTAAAAAAATGCTAGTCACATACTTTAAAATTATGAACAAATCCTAAATATCAGAAGTACGGATTTAAGAATCTACGTATTCACCATACGATCGAAAAAAACGTCAAAGGCGGCTGGGGAATGACAATCGATGATAATTTTGGCCAGGTCAAGCCCTAGACGTCATTTACTTGGGCCGTACTCTTCTTTATTTTTTAATGGCGCTCTATTGCCACTTGGCCTTAAGAAGATTGTAATTTATCTTCATATGTATTGAGTAAAAATTATTTTTAAATGATGTGGTTTAAAATTTGAGTAAAAATAACTTTTTGGAAATAGATTTGTAAATCTAGAAAGGGGGTCTATCCTTTTTAATCTTTCTATAATTAGTGTTCATTTTTAACAAGTTTTATGTCAATTTTTAGTAACTGACGCATGACGTCTAGAGACTGACCTCGCCAAAATGATCATCAATTGTCATTCCCCAGTTGTCTTTGACGCCGTTTTTTTTTCGATTATACGGTACTTATACGTATAATTTACCTAAATTGTTGAGTTCAATTACGAAATAATACAAAACTTCAATAACAACAGAAAGTCAATAACGATTTTAAGTATTTAAAAGGATTTTTTTAACATAAGAAATAATTTTTGTAATTATTTATTTAATTAATAATATTTATTATTTATTGACAATAATCAAAAAAATAATAAAATTATAGGTGTATGACAATTCATAAAGTGACCACAAATATATAAATGTTATGTTAAATGTAAAAAGTTAAAAATGTTTTGAAACTAAACCTTTTTTATGTTCAAACATAAACTGACTTTAAATCAATAATCAATCAATTACCATGATCCAAAATCTTAAAACGTTATTAAATTACTAAAACTGAATTTTGTAAAGTAATTGTACATATTTTTGTGTGAACTAATTGTGCTTTATTTTATATAGCTTATCTAAGTTTATTGAATCTACTAATAATAAAGATAAAACTTTATATACTAACAAATAGGTACTTGACATCGCTGTAAAAATGATATAAGCTTTAAATTAAAACCAAATTCTATTGGTGTTATTTGCAGAACCAGTTCAGTTGAGAAAGGTGAAAAAGCCAGAAAGGGAGAGTTTTAGGAAAGAAAAAGAAAACAATCCTTTAGGTAACTATATAAATAAGTCTTCAACACAAATATATAAAATTGTCAATAATAAAAAAATACATTTAATGAAATATTATAGAACATAATACAATGTATATATAATTAATTAATATATTATGTATACATAGTATGTCGGCGCCAAAGAGTGAAATTCGCCATTCCCTGAAATGCCTAGTCAAATCACGTATCGCTGGAAAACAGCATAATTGATTAATTTGTTCATCTACTACATTTGACTAATATTACCCTGCAATTACGCAATATTTCAGTGAAATGCAAATGTAATGAAATTAACCAAATAATTTAAGCGGCCCTGTTTTGAATGATTTTGAAACTTCTCTACTCACAATATTTAATTATAAATCATTAATAGAGTTTAATTAGTAAGTATATTAATTGACTATACTATACCATGTAAATATGTATATATATAGAAGTAATATATAATGTAATACAGTTTATTATGAAGCCAAAACGGCAATAAAACGTGAGTATTTACTAGGCTCAAAAATATATTAATAATTTAACTATATAATACAAACTATTAATAGACTTGACAACAAAGGCTGGAAGTTAGCCAATAGAAATCAACAAGTGCAGTTTATCAAAACTTAATATTTCATCGGTTTCAGATGTAAATACTGGTGTCTATTTTTTATAGGTTACGTTGTACGTCCTGTGAGTGGGAGTGTTGTCCGATTTTGGACGCGATCGGTCAATGTGGTTACTTTTACGTAAATTTCTTTATATGTCGCCAAAAATAGAGAATTTGGTTGCTTAACAATTTAAATTGTAAAACGTCAGCATTTACCTTTAATGTCAGTTACACATGACGCCTTAAAATTTTTCATGGATAAGTTCTGTGTAATTTATTCTAGAGCAGTGATGGCGAACCTTCAAAGCAAAAAAATTTCATAATTCAAATATTTATCTCTCATAACCGAGAGAGTTGGTTAACAATAATATTATTACTTAGAAAAAAAATATTAAAAATTAATTATTTTATTATTATTTATTATTTTAAAATTTTAAGGTAACTTTTTTTCGTTCTGTAGATTTTAAGTGTAGATTATAGCACTTAATCCGGTGCCTCTCAATTTTTTTAAAATAAATAAATAAATAAATTACTTAGAGACTGTATTCTGAGTTATAACTCGAGAAAGGGGAACGCTATACAGGGTGAGTCTTAAATAAGCGCAAATATTTTTAGGGGTAGTATATTTCGACCCCAGGAACACGTCTATGAGGTTTTTTTGGCAAAAAAGATGTTAAAAATCGTGCATATTCTTTGAAATTGTCTTGTATATTTTAGAAAACTTTTTAGAAGTGCGCGTTCGCCGCAAATTTTTCCACGGTATAATTTCTTAATATCTGACTAATATTACTATGGTTACGACACTGAAAGGGATGCAAATACAGAACAAATCCGGTGGCTCTCAAAATTTTTTAAAAATAAATTTTCGTAACCTGAAAGCAAAGAAATTCCTTAAAAATAGTTTTTGTACTGAATATACAGGGTGAGTCTTAAATAAGTGCAAATATTTTTAGAGGTGGTATATTTCGACCCCAGAAACACGATTATGAAGTTTTTTTCGGGAAAAAAAATTGAAAAATTGGAATTTTTTGAAAAAAAAATTGGGAATTTTTTTTTTAGTTTTTAGTTAAAAACGTAATTTCTTGATAATATGGCCAAGTAGTGGATTAAAAAAATTACAAGAAAGAAAACCCAGAAAAGATCCAGTGATTCTAAAAATTTAAGCAAAAAATCATTTTTTTTGGAAATTTTCAAAGTAACTCCGTTATTTGGGACTTACTTGAAAAACGGTGAAGAGAAAATATATTTTTTTTAACGAGATCTAGTAGCCCTGAAAATATTTGCACTTATTTAAGATTCACCCTGTATAATATAATATAAAATTAATATTTGAGTAATTAACTTACGTTTTTTTTAATATTTCTTTTTTTTTTAGTCTTTAAGTCCAGAAGTTGATCTTTACCATGTTCAATTAAAGCTGGTACAACTTCTGGACTTTAGAAAGAGGTCAAAAAGACAAACAATTTAACTAAAATTTGATGAGAAAATCATCAGAATGGGCCTACTAGAACAAAATATATTGAAGTTAAAAATACACGAAAATTTTTAGGGAACCTCTTTTTTCGTTCTGTAGATTTTAAGTGTAGATTATAGCACCCCTAATATCTGATCTATAAATAATATAAATCTGCTACAGCCGGTGTTAAATTAAGAAAGACTTCGGTACAAACGAAAGAACCACAACAAAATGGAGAAGAAAAAGAAAGTTTCTTCGTTAAACCACAACTTAAGCCAGTGCCACAGAAAGAGAAAACCCCACCCAAAAAGGTAAGCGTAAAATATACATATAGATAAAGTGACCTGATGTCCTTTTTTTATTATTGTTACGTTTTTCGTCGGTTCCGTGTGGATAGAAAGTCACAATTTATTTAAACACTATTTATTTAACACTAATTAACAAAAATAATAACGATAAAAGACTTATAGAACTATTTACAAACGATTTATAACTAAGAATTTATTTTGAATTTTAGCGCGTCAACTGTATATTTATAACTGCCCTCTCTAGGCCACTGCCGCCGGCTTTATACCGACAGGTAAAAGAAATCTAGAATAGTCCAAAGATCGTTAGGCGCATAGAGAAGGTTTTCGAATGTTCTCGTATGTACGCGTCCATTCTAGTGGGTCTCGATTCTTCTCGAACGAATGAATCATTGCGGTGTCTATGCGATGTTAAGGTCATCCGAGGGCGGGCCATATTGTGAGGTTAGGGTCGAGTCCACACCGGCTCGCAACACTGCCCCTTCTTAGGCACATGCTCGTCCCGAGATGTATACGGTGAATGAAGGTATTTGCAAAGCTGGCCCCTGGTACATTGCGAAGTCTGGTAGAAATAGCAGTCTACAGTTTTCTCTCCCGATCTCAGCTTTGGGTTGTAGCAGCAAACGAGGATCTCGATTCCCGTAAATCTGAACAAGACTTCAATCATGTTCCGGATTGTACGCCAACTCAAACCATCGAGTCCACACGCCAGCTTCGGAATGGCTAATCGTGCAATGTTGTTGTTTAGCAGGGCTTCTCTCAGTTCAATCAGGGTCTTCCATAGATTGAGATAAGTCGGCTTACTCGGGGACCATTCCTTGGTGACCAGGTAGAAGATGTGCCTTGCTTGACCATGTGCATTGTCGGTTAGCCTCAAGACGCTTCCAACCTCTGGATCCTGTCGGCGTAGTTCTCCGACACGCCCAAACTTCTCATTGAACGTCGCAGCGATTCCTCTGGACATCCGCAAATCTCGAGCCACACAATGAGCGAGCGAATAATCAGGAGGCACGGAAAAGAGGTCTCGTTGATCTTCTTTGGTTACACCATAGCGAGCCTTCTCACTGCTGTTGTATCGGGCCATGAAATCGTCAAAGGACATCTCCGAATCAGGGGGATCAAAGCTGCAGGTTCTCACGGTCCCAGCACGATCTTCTATTTCGCCTTGGTAGGGGCTCAAACGGTTGAAATGGACTACCCTCGGTTTTCCTTTTGGCAATTTTCTGATACGGTATACGACGTCATTAATTCTATCCATGACTTCGTATGGCCCTTCCCACGAGGATTGTAGCTTCGGAGATAACCCACGACGTCTCTGCGGGTTATATAGCCACACCAACTTCCCTGGTTGGTATCCTCCATGCTCAGCTTGAATGTCGTAGTGTTCCTTCATTCGGTCACTAGCACTTTGAATATTTAGGCGGACTCTCTGATGAATGTCGTCCATCCTTTGACGTAGTGTGTGGACATAATCTTCTCCGGCGACTTCTTCTCCCGGTCGGCAACCAAATTTCAGATCACAGGGTAGGCGCACTTCCCGTCCCATAACGATGCTGGCTGGAGTTTGCCCTGTAGATTCTTGGACGGATGAACGGTAGGCCAACAGGAACAGGTGAAGAAATTTGTCCCAGTCTCTTTGGTGGTCAGAGACTACTTTGGCCAGATAACGGTTGATAGTTCTGTTCATGCGTTCAACCATCCCATCGGATTGTGGATGTAGAGCAGTCGTCCTGGTCTTGCGGATGTTCAGGACTTCACAGACGCCTTGGAACAGATTGGACTCAAAGTTTCTTCCCTGATCTGAATGAAGCTCCATGGGAACACCAAACCTGCAGATCCATTCTTTAACAAGGGCATCAGCAATCGTGGACGCTTCTTGATTTGGCAACGCGTAGGCCTCGACCCATTTGCTGAAGTAATCCATTACTACCACAATGTATTTGTTGCCATCGTTCGTCTCCGGGAAAGGACCAGCCACGTCGATCGCTATTCGTTCGAAGGGACTACCAACATTGTACTGGCGCATAGGGGCTTTACCACGCTTTTGTGGCCCATTAATGGCTGCGCAAATGTCACATTTCTTACACCAGGCCCTCACATCTTCTTTGCAGTTCACCCAGTAGAACCGTTCACGCAGCTTGCCAAGTGTCTTGGTAACACCAAGATGTCTCCGCTGGTTCCATTGTGAACTTCCTCCAAGACTTCTGGGACCCTCTTCTTTGGAATGACGATCTGCCTTCTCTCTTCTTGTCCCTCCGGTCTCTCGATCACACGGCGAAGTAGTCCGTTATCTATTACCAAGGAATTCCACTGGGCCCAGTACGACTTTACGTTCGGCGAATATCTGCAAACTTCTTCCCACGTTGGTCTTTGGCCTGTGTTTTTCCAGTTAATTACTAAACCTAATTCTGGGTCACTGGTTTGGTCATTTGCAAGATCTTCGGGTTGCCAACTATCATTAACCACAGTTGTTCTTAGGAGTTTCACTTCTTTCTCTTCAGCTCGGGAGCAATGCTTACAGTCCTTAGCGCAAGGTCTCCTGGAAAGTGCGTCGGCATTCCGATGGATTGCCCCAGCTCGATGTTCTGTGTCGAAGTCAAATTCTTGTAATCGTTCAATCCATCTAGCTACCTGCCCTTCAGGATTCTTAAATTGCAACAGCCATTTCAAAGCAGCATGGTCTGTTCTTAACAAGAACTTTCTTCCATAGAGATACTCTTGTAGAAGTGTTCCACTGCTTTAACTACTGCTAGTAATTCTCGTCTGGTTACACAGTAGTTCCTTTCCGGTTTTGACAAGGTCTTACTAAAATAACCAATGACTTTTTCTTGACCATCCTGGATCTGAGACAGAACAGCGCCTAACGCAACATTGCTAGCGTCGGTTCCAATATAAAGTTTCCGTTGCCAAGAGGGTAGCTAAGTATGGGCGCACTAGTCAGGGCCTTCTTCAATTTTCGGAATGCCTCGTCAGAATCTGAGTCCCAAGAGAAACGCCTCTCGCCTTCGGTAAGTCTGGTCAATGGTTTTGCGATGGTGGCAAAACCCCTGTACATAGCGGCGATAGTATGTGCATAGTCCCAAAAAGCTTCGTAGTTCATGTTTATCTTTAGGTATCGGCCACTCTTCCACTGTCTTGGTCTTCTGTGGATCTACCGCAACTCCTTGGGAAGAGACTACATGGCCCAAGTAGTGTACCTTTTCTTGACACAGATGACATTTCTTGGGGCTAAGTTTCAAACCAGAGCTCCCTAGTCGCTTGAAAACTTCTTCCAAATTCTTCAGATGATCGTCAAAGGATTTCCCAACCACTATGATGTCATCCAGGTACACTAAACAGGTAGTCCAGGATAGTCCCTTTAACACAGACTCCATTAGTCTCTCAAAGGTAGCTGGCGCGTTGCACAATCCAAAAGGCATGACGGTAAATTGCCACAGTCCGGAGCCCACCGAGAACGCTGTCTTCTCTCTGTCTTTCGGCGCCATGTCGACTTGCCAATATCCACTCTTCAGATCTAACGTAGAGAATATCGTTGACCCCGCCAGCGTGTCTAGAGTATCGTCTATCCTCGGCAGGGGATAACTATCCTTCTTGGTAACATTATTGAGCTGCCGATAATCAACACAGAACCTGGTGGTACCGTCTTTCTTCTTTACTAGTACTACCGGCGATGTCCACGGGCTGTTAGATGGTTCGATGACACCCTCTTCTTTCATTTCTCGAAGGATTTTATCAGCTTCTTCACGTTTGGCGAGCGGAAGTCTTCTCGGATTTTGTTTGATTGGTCGTGCATCTCCGGTATCAATTTTGTGTTGTACTAAATTGGTACGACCTCTCTGTCCTGCTTCTCCTTTATCAAACACATCTTGATACTTGATTATCAGGTTTCTCAATTTTCTTCTATTTTCGGGAGATAATCCTTTAACGTTTACTAACTCCTTCACCATTTTGTCCGGAATTTTTGAAGTCGAAACTTTGGAGGCTTCCACGCTTCGAACGACTGAGGAGACCGAACAACAGTACCCTAAGAGGGTTCCCTTCTTCAAGGATACAGAATAATAATTCGTGTTCATTACTCTCACCGGTACAGTTTTCTTCGCTCGTAGCAGGGCTTTTCCAACAGCGATCCCTCGTCCTATTTCGCTGTCATGGTTCCTTGGCTCCAACAGAATAATACTCCCATTATTCATTTTACCTTCTAGGCAACCATCCAAAAATATCTCACAGCGCTCAGGGATCGAAACATCTTCTGCTACCACCACGCGAAGCGTCTCCTCACATTTTCGATGCAGAACCACTTCTTCTTCATTTATTTTCAAAATTCCTTGTTTGAGGTTTAGCTCAAAACCTCTAGTGGTCATGATGTCCATTCCGAGAATAAGTTCATCTTCGATGTCTGCTACTAACACTGGATGTTCAAAACTGGTGCTCCCAATAACAAAATTAAGGTTTACTTCTCCATGGACAGCAGCGGAGCCCCCCGTGGCAGTACAATGTAGTCGCCATTGTGTTGTTTTAACCTTCTTCGATGTTTTAAGAATGTCCGGTCTGATGATAGTTTTTCGTCGCACCTGTATCCAACAGCATGGTCCGGAACTCTCATCAACAAAACCATCCACAAAATGCTGTTGAATTTGTGTTGTAGCGAGGCGACTTGAGCAGTTTTCGTTAGCATGTTGGGTACAGGTCGACGTGTGCCCCTTCATTTCGACCCTTAGTAGTTTTCCGACCTCGGCGAAGCCGGTTCTTCGTTCTTCTCCCTTACAACGGCTTCGCACGTGTCCCACCTGTCCGCAGTTCCAGCAACGAATCGGTCCCTTCTTGCCCATGTACTGGTCCATTACCTTCCGAACAATCCCTTCCACGGATTCGTCGGAACATTCGTCGATGGCCCGTACTTCTTCCTAAAGACCGAGAACTTTGTTTCGCGGCCTCAAATTCTAGGGCACGTGCTAAAGCATCCACCAAGTGCGTTGGGTGGGCTAGGAGAAGTGCTTGTCTTGTCT